GGGATTGTGGTTTGTATAGTCTCAAACATCAGCCCTGCTGTTCATAATGGAGAAGGCAGTAGTGTATGATTAAAAGCGGTTTCTTTTCACTAGATATGAATATAATTTTAGTAAGTAGGTACCTATCCTCTGATTTAAAAAATAGTTCCACAATTCTGCAGTGTGATTCTGTAAGACTTTATTATAAACTTCGAATCTGAATCCGCTGTGAGTAGTAGTACACTAGCGCTACACTTGCGAGTTGAACTAAATTGACAGTAACATTTTGACGTTAAAAGTGACACTATAAAATGTTGTTTCTCCGTCACTTCGACGCTCACTTCACACTCGAACAACATTCAAAATCAAACAAATTTTATAGAATCGACGTGCTGATCTCACAATTCGAATTGAAATTTTCTCTCATTTAAATTAAAAATTTTGCCTCACACTAGGCATCTTACTTTGGATCTTTTCGTGTGTCGTAGGTGCGTTTACAAACATACAAATTCCCATACACAAGCCACCTAGGCCCGGTGGATCATACAAAGTGTTGTTCCGTGCGGGAATCGAAACCGCGACACGTTGCGTTGCAGACAGTTGTCCAGCCATTGCGACATTCAGGCAGTCATTGACAATATTCTTTTGATTTATTTTTTTGGATATTTTATAATTTTGAATTCGGTGCGGTGCCAAATATTTGCTACAAAACCATTCTACAATACCTATTATCAACGCAATCAATGAAAGCAATCAACACCGCCCATGGACACCCGCAACACCAAAGAAGTTACGAGTGCGTTGCCGGCCTTTTAGGTATAGAGGTTTTGGATATTTAAGGATTGGGAAGGGATGGGGGAGGGGGAGGGATTGAGCCTTCGGTAACCTCACACGGCAAAACACAACATTGTATTACAAAGCTGCTTCCCAATCACTACCTAATTATTAGATATAAAAGGACATCAATATGCTCTTATAATACCGATGCGAAAAGTAGAATTTTCTATATACACGTCATACAAGATAACCACCCATCCAAAAAATCACCTTTACCACTGACGCTTAACGCAATCAACGCAACCATATTTACCTCACTCTACCTATTTATATCAACCACCTACACTTAGATGTCTGCTTACCCCTTAACAACATACCGTAACTATATACCCCACTTGTATATCTATCTCTTTCACTCTTACAGCATTTTGCTCAAGGTATAATATCTCTGTCCTTGTCAGTTCCCCTATGTACAGTAAAACATGTAATTTAGTACATCTGTTGCTTATAGTTCAGTGAATATTGTGGTCTAGTTACAATTTGTGCGCGGGCGCAGTGACATCTTGTGGACAGTTGTTGTAAAAAGTGATTGGTATTTTAAAAAGAGAAAATCTTTGCCCCACATTATTTCGGGATTTTTTCCTATGTCGTGGGTGCAGTTAAAAACATACAATTTTATGTACACATGACAAACAGACCCGGAACAAGAATTTATGGAAACACAAAGAGTTTTTCCATGCGGGAATCGAAAACGCGTCACGTTGCACGGCAGCCAGTTGGCCAGCTACCGCGCCGACCAGTCAAAGTCAGTTTTTATTATTGCTTCTAAACTAATTAGTCACAGTATTTACATAATATACAGGTATCACGTTAAATTTCATTCAAATTGTAGGCCGGAGGTTACTGCGCCCGCTTCTCATACGCTTAGCATTCGAAACCTGGCAAGCACGAATGTGACTTTTCCCGAATTACAATATGTACCCACATTCTGTGATTATTTAGACACCACTGACATACGGTTAAAGGAAAAACATCGCGGGGAAACCTGGACTTATAATTTCTTATTATAACGCCTTGAGCAAGCGTGATGATGAATGCTCAAACCTTCTCCTAGAAGCCGTCTTCTGTGAGAAGAGGCCTTTGCTCAGCAGTGGGCACTGATGATGTGTTGATGAAACACCGCTGTCATCGCCTGTACGTCACGTACCGATGACAGTCGCGCCGCGCTTTGTATTGAAGTACAATCGAATACAATAAAACGATATCCTTATCCGGACTACGTTTTGTTCAATTTAATAATACAATATTACAATAACTAGGTACCTCCTTGCAATAAACTTACTACTCTTTTTTTGCCGGTACCTACTGCTTACTACAATTCTATAATGATGAGCGTTTTTTTTTTGCTAAACTAACTGCGATCCTTAACTTTATTTTTGTGTGGTGGAATTACCGACTTGAGGGAATGACGAATTGAGAGATGGGGAAGGATTGGGCCTCTAGTAACCTCAATCACAAGGCAAAACTTAACGCTGTTGTTGTTTAACGCTGGTTTTCTGTGAGGCCGTGAAACTCCGGTATTCGTCCCGAAGCATGGCTCTTCCACACATTTAGAAGAACAACCCTTTGTCCTAAATGTGTTTATTGATCCGAGTATGGTCATCTGTTTGTTGATAAAGATAACACATTTTAATATCTAAAAGTCAATCTAACTGCACTGACTTATTAACCGTAAAATGAAATCCATTATACAGAACAAAAAAAAAACAAAAACTTTGATATTCAACTTTTATGAATGAAAACTCACTCTTTTCATTATTAGCAATAAAATCGCGTTCGACTTTTAAACACAGGCCGGCTCGAACTGGCCGCACAATTAGGCTCTAACCAATTTTTTGAATGCAGAACAGAAAAAAAATGGCGTCAACATTCTTTTTTTGTTTACGCGCCAAAATGACACAAAACGCGCCGAAAGGTCGTCAGTATAAGAAAACAGTAAAAAAAAAATATAAAAATTATACACGTCTGTGTCCACAAGTATATAATTTGGCCCTATAATTCGTCGGGACATAGATGTTTTTTTTTTCGAAACCGTAATTACGTTTCGGGTCTCTTGTTTGTGAATCTTTCCGGTTTTTTTGAGTCACTTTCCGATTTGTATTTTTTTTCCGTTGTTCGCTTGTCGGTTTTCGATCATCGTCTTTTGCGTGTGTTGTTTGATGAGTCCGTCCATTGGATTCATGTTTATTTTTATTAGAGATACCAGTGAGTCAATTTTTAATATAGATAGTTGTGAAGATAATTAGATGGTGTGGTGGCCCCGAGGTTACGGCGCCCGCTTTTCAAGCGTGAGGGGTTCGAAACCTGGCAAGTACCAATATGACTTTTTCAGAGTTATACGTACTTTCTATGATTATTGAGACACCACTGACATACGGTGAAGGAAACATCGTGAGGAAACCTGGACTTATAATCTCTTATTATAAGTTTCAAATCGCCAACTCGCATTGAGCAAGCGTGGTGATTATATAATGCTCAAACCTTCTCCGTGTGAGAAGAGGTTTTTGCTCAACAGTGGGCACTTACAGGCTGACGATGACGACGACGTGAAGATAAATAATTAGGTACCTATAACTCTTTATAGACTTTGGGCATGTCATCTGTCGCCTGTCGAAAATAAAACATAAATATAAAGTGATCATTTAAAAAAAAAGTAGACTATTTATTTCATTTGATTTATTGAACAAAATAATTATGCAGATCTAATTTTCGGTGCTTATACAAAAACAAAAAAAAAAAATACGAAAGAAAATGTGTTTAGTTTTTAGTGGTGAAATACATCATTTGGTTTCCCTCGCCTTGGGAAAGGCACCAAGGAGTGTCAGACTCTTACTTTTTTTATGGTATAAGTCGGCAAACGAGCAGACGGATTACCTGATGGTAAAAAATCGGCGCCGCCCATGGACACCCGCAATACCAAAGGAGTTACGAGTGCGTTGCCGGCCTTTTGGGGATAGGGGTTGCGAATATAAGGATCGGGAAGGGATAGGTGAAGGGAAGGGATTGGGCCTCCGGTAACCTCACTCACACGGCGAACCACAACACTGTGTGTTGTTTCACGCCGGTTTTCTGTGAGGCCGTGGTATCACTCCAGTCGAGCCGACCCATTCGTGCCGAAGCTTGGCTCTGACACACTTATCTTACTGACTTAAACTCACCCCGTCCCGTGTCAAGTGCAATAAGGTACAGATCACCTGAAGCAGAAGAAGGAACTGGCGGTTTTTAGTCAGTAAGAGTCTGATATTCTCTCTAGCAATACCCTGGACGAGAGAAATCATTTGATTACTTTACGTCCACCAAAAAAAAAATTTTAACAGAAAGCACTGATATTTAATTTACAACAATGTCTAGGTAATTTTTTCATTTAAAAAGCATTAAAACAGATTTATAATCCCACCTATTCTTGTCTTACCCTAGCCATACGAGGCTAATAAGTAATTTGCATACATGAAGACCTTCAGGGAAGTATAATGACTGCTAATTTGAAACAGTGGACGGACCGTCTTCAATATTAATATTTGAAAAGTTGTCACATTGTCCATTGTTAGACGATACGGTAAAAATATTAATTACATAACCTCACTTCTGACTTGGAATGAGGTTTTTAGTTAGAAAGTTTTGTTTTGATGGGTTTTATTATCAGATTTTGACTGACAGACATTGACTGCATGGTTGGCGCGGTGGCTGGGCAACTGGCTGCCGCGCAACGTGTGGCGGGTTCGATTCCCGCACCAAACAACTCTCAGTGTGATCCACAGATTGTTGTTCCTTGTCTGAATGTTATGTGCAGGTAAAATTGTACGTTTGTAAACGCACCCACGACACATGAGAAATTCTAATGTAAGGCAACGTTTTTTTTAAAGAAAAAAAATAGAAAGATAATACCCTCCGGCCTTAAGTGAGGCAAGAAGAATTACAGACTTAAAACCGTTTCTTCTGTTTTGGGTGAATATCGGTCTTCTGTAGTGGTCTTCTTTCTGTAATGGTCTTGTGGCTCTTCGAGGCGAGTGTAGAACGCTACGCGTGGCGCTTAGCACGATCTCCGTGTGCCTCGTCTGGCGGTGGCTAGGGCGTAAGGAGGATAGTTTTATCAAGGCGAGATGGTTTCCCAGTCCTTCTTTCTCTGTATCATGACCTGAACTATTATAGGGATTGTTACAAGATGTCATAGCTGCAGATAATTTTCAAACATTGACGTTATCCTTATTGTCTATATTGCTAGCGCCCACATGAAGGATCTGATGTTTATATCTATCGTTTAAATTGATAAGATAGTTAATTGAATGACATTATCAACAGCTCGTGGAAGTCCACACTTTATTTGCCCAGAGATCGTAGCAAAGGATTCAGGTTCATCAAAGAGTATGACCAATCTCTGTTAGAAGATTTTCGCGTTAAGAGAAGCCTGAGTAGCGTTAAAAATGTTCTTATGACGTCATAGCATAATCGTTTTATGTCATCAGTGAACAAACGAGCTGATGGATTACCTGATGGTAAGCGATCAAAGCCGCTCGTGGACACTGGTAATACCAGAGGATTTATTTCAGTGTAAAAGTGACAAGCGAAAATAAGTAATTCTTAAGTTTATTCATTTGAGGCACGGTATTACAGGTTGTTATTTGAGTTCTAAAATTAGTAAAATATAAAATACTATATAAAATAAGGTAAAACCATTTTAATAAATATTTTATATTATAGAATAAACCTTTTTATAGAAAAATAGTTTTAAAAGATATTGAGATACATTAAAAATTACATACTCTTTATTTGTAAGTGTTGATGTAAAAAAATCTGAAAACGTATAAAACCATTTTGTAATTTGGATTTTAAATTTTGAAAATGGAAGCTCCATTACAGTCTTCGGAATTTAAAAAGTTCTTAAATAAATAAAATACTACAATGGACACGGTTATCTATGGCCGTCATTAGTTGCAATGATTTTTATTCCTTGAAAAGCTTGATTTTTTAAACGAATTATTAATTCGCCCTAGCCTTGTCCTCAGGGGGGAGGTGGCAAGGCATCGCTTCATTTTGTATGTACTGATTTATCGGGTGTAATCCCGTTAGAGCGGTGAAGACGATTTTCACGACATAATTTTTTTAGCACAGGTTTCCAACCGGTTGCAATTTGCTGATTTCCCCGTCCTGTATATGTATATCTAAAATAATCTTTCAGAAGAACATTCCCCTGAGAATAACGAACGTAACAAAATAATAATTGGCAAAATTGGTTCAGGCATTTTTGAGTTACGCGCCAACCATACACTTTGCTATTCATTTTTACATGTAGGTATAATAGACCAGCTACTCTCACGCGGTTTCACCCGCTGCTCGGCTCCATTTGATCGTAGCGTGATGTTTTATAGCCTGTAGCACTCAGGAACATTGTAGCTATCTATCAGTGAAAGAATTTTGGTAATCCGACCAGCGATACCGAAGGATTACCACTTACATACCTCTTAATAATATTAATATAGAATGGACAGGCTTTTGACCACTATTACACCTAGTGGTAAGCCTATGATGCCACCTACGACGAAACACGCCTATCCAAAAGCAACCTATTCACTCGGGCCTTGAAGACACCCAGGTTATATATCCTTCGGGAAACACATGTCTATCAAAAAATTCCACTCCTTAGCGGTTCTGATGATAAAACTGGAGGCGAATCGCTTATATGTGTTACAATGTTCTCACACAGTCAAACCAACTTAATAATGTACCAAAGAAATTTGGAACTGATTTAAAAAGAGTAACCATGGAATTTCTTGGGAATGGGCAATTAGCTAACATAACATACATATAATTCTATGATTATTTAGACACCACTGACATACGGTAAAGTAAAGTAAGTAAATATTATTTTATAATTTATAATTATAAAATTTGAACTCGTCAATCCACCAAGAGCAAGCGTGGTGATTAATGCTCAAACCTTCTCTGTGTGAGGAGAGGCCTTTGCTCAACAGTGGCCACTTATTGGCTGATGATGAGCAAATAGCTGCACTCAGCACTAAGGGGACTGAACGACAGTTTATATCTTTAAAATTTTGTTTGACGTTCAAAAGTGCCTATAACGATCTAATTGAAATAAATGATTTTGACTTTGTGCGTGTGGGTGGGGTAGTCACTGTGGTGAAAAGGACTCAAGGGAATCAAGCCCTACACTTCTCCCGAATATTCTCCGAAATGTATGCGATTAAAATTCAAAAGGCCTTGCGCCCTTGTTCAGTTTTTGTAAGAAAAAATAACTTTTCATAGTGTAGTTCAACCTTTATGTTTGAAAGCGGTTTTTAGCCATTAGTCTAGATTCTAGAATATATAATGAACATAAGCCCTAAGGCTTACTTTCTAACTGCATAATGATAGAATGGATTTTTAAATTGACGTCGACTTAGTATTGTTATGCAGTTAATTTTTTTTCCTTTTGTTTTTCACTACTGTAGATGCTTGGTGCATAAAAATTGCAGTCATTGGGAATGTAATGACAGGGAAGGTGAAAGAAAAGTCACAGTCAAAGTCAAAAACAAAGTAAACGTCAAAGTCAAAGTAAACGTCAAACTCAAAGTAAACATCAAAGTCAAAGTAAACGCCAAAGGAAAAGCAAACGTCAAAGTCAAAATAAACGTGAAAGTCAAAGTCACGACATTTGTTTTAATTAGACTAATGCACTGCGTATCTTATATTGACGTGCTAAACGTCAATATAAGATTTGTAGATAAATAGCCAGCCAGTTAAGACTTTTTGGTTTTTAATTATTAATTTATTACCAGATAAAAGGTTAGAAGTATTGTAAAATCGGATCGATCTAAGCGATGCCATGTCTTCTCAGAATATTTGTCAAATAACACCAACTTTGGGTTTTGCCGTCCGAAAACCGTTGGAAACCCAATATTTCCCACCATCACTCAAAACCCTCAAATACCTAATAACCCACAAAAGACCGGCAACACGCTTGTAACTTCTTTGGAGTTGCAGGTATCCATGGTCAGTGCCAATTGCTTACCATCAGGTGATCCGTCTGCTCGTTTGCCGACTTATTCCATATGACCTCCAAGGATTAGGCCTCCGGAAACACACACACAGTAAGCATCTGCGTCAGGCGGAAGGTGAGGACGCCGTGGCGTCTCTCAAGCCACTCCTCAAAGAGGGGTCTTACCGCTGCTATAATAGCGTGCCCAGATTTGTAGGTACTGAAGCTTGGCTCTCCCACACTTGAATTACGCGTATATGGAACCCTTATTACACGGAACTTAGATAGTACCTTATGTTCCAAACTATTTAAAATTACGGGTCTCATTTTCAAAATGTCACCAACTTATAAATTATGTCCATAAGTCTCATTTACTAGTTAAAACTAATAACACATATCCAATTCGACCAATCATCTACATTTAACAAAATACACCTAACAATTACGAAATCTAATTGGCTCATTCAAATTTAGAATTCTACGTTACGAGCCCTGATTGGTGACGCGTGGCGTCTCTTTAAAATGACCGTTAATTTTGCATATTAGCTATTCTAATATCCATTTTAAGTTGAGCTCCAGTTTCGTGTATTTTGCTTGGTGGTTGAGTTCAAGAGTTTTTGTCGTTGTCTTATTAAATGGAATTAGTAAAAAGTAAATGATAGCTATTTATAATGGGTTGTAATTTGAACTGTTATTGGAAGACTTTAATTAACGGTGTTTTGTTCGTTAATTTGATGTCATTTCGTTGTTATTCCGTTGTAATATTATACCTATTCGTTCAGCATTGAAATTATCGTTTAAGTGAAGGCATTTCTTTTTCTAGTTACATTGTTATGGAAGGGCGAGAAGTATATACAGTGGGACTTTAGGGGCTTCTAGAGTCCTTACTCACTTAGTGACCTCAGGGAATACGGTGGCGCAACGATCACGTGCCAGGCTCAAGGGGAGCAGCTCTCCGATATGACTTAGCATTGGGAAGCACAGTTTCCTAGGAGTATCTGATGCCCCTAACAGGTACTAAGGAAAGAAGAAAGAAAGAAAAACCATTAGATCTAGGGGTTGGAGGAGGGAAAGAAGGATTGGACCGGTAACTTTACTCACACGGGTAAAACACAACGTGAATGTTGTTTTAGGCTAGTTTTCTATGAGGCCGTGGTATCACTCCGGTGGAGCCGACCCATTCATGAAGCATGGCTCTCTCATACTTTATCATCATTCGTTTTTCTTACAAGACATTTACTTAAAGCACTTATTTTGTTTTTATTTTACTTAATAGGGACAGAAACAGACAACAAATTAAGCATTGCATAATATTATCATGTTAAGAATACACATTGTATAAACCTGAGGTCCAATTACCTATAAACCTGTGTGCATCTTATGAAAACAAAATAAAACTGTGTACATTTTATGAAAAAAAATAAAAACAAAAGAAAATGACCTGTCACACGAAAATCATCAAGTCCTTTTTCCCATATATTTCTGGCCCTGTGCAAACAAATTAGGTGTCGTAAAGTTGCACAAAGGATTGTCCCACGGCGTGCACTGATATGTGCAAATAATCCTATTACAATTAGCACAGACATTCATCGATAAATTTTTGGATGTGGTATATTGAGCACAGTTCAGTGACATCGGGAATGAGGGTGAACATTTTTGTGAAGGTGTGGACCAAATATGTAATAGCTATTATAAATAGCGAAGGGTTTTTAAATTAAATAGTATATGAAATAAATATTTTTACCCGACTGCCAAAGAAGGAGGGTAATGTTTTTCGAGTGTATGTAAGTATGTATGTATGTCTTTTCCTTTGTGACCTCCTGTAGCCTAAACGGCTTGATGGATTTTGATGTATGAGGTATCGTTAGATTTGTCTTGATTACGGGAGTGTCATAGGATACATTTTATCCTAAAAGTCCCACGGGATAAAGACATAATAAAAACACATCAGGATCTTGACTAGTCGGCTGTCTTTCAAACAGAGAGTTCGGGAGCTTCTTTTGAAGAGGTTGGGGGAATCATCGTGACTATGACTGCATATACGTATATATATGTATATATATATATATATATATTTATATATTTACTGCCTTATAAATATGTATTATAATGTATATATATAGTATGTATGTATGTAAAGTGTGTTATGTATATTTTTATATATTTGTTTGGTATATTAAATTGAATTTCCTTGCTTCTGCACCTGCTACTAGATTATCTCTGCATCACCCAAAGGTAGACTGGTAGAGAATGCTCATTGCATTAAGTCCGCCTATGTACAATGTTTTGTGCATGAAGTCTAAAATAAATAAATAAATAAATAAATAATAATATATTTTCTAAATTTCCCTTTAAAAAAATATGTATGCGGTATCATTAGATTCATTTCAATCACGGGAGTAACGTTAAATAAAAACAGCTAAAAAGTTATAAATAAAAAAATTATTATTAAAAAAACAAAATACCCGACTGCACACTAAAAAAAGAGTAAAACAAGCCCCACAATACAAATTTACTGAATATAATTTATAAATGTTGATGGAAAGCATCGCAGGCGGGGACCACCTTGACCGCCACCAACGAAAATTCTGCTAAATGGTGCACAACAGAAATGACTATAAATAAGCCTCTGTTGGTCCCCGCCTGCGATGCTTTCCATCAACATTTATAAATTATATTCAGTAAATTTGTATTGTGGGGCTTGTTTTACTCTTTTTTTAGTGTGCAGTCGGGTATTTTGTTTTTTTAATAATAATTTTTTTATTAACAGTAAAGTTTGACATACAAATCTAAATGGCTACATTGCAAGCGACTAATTTCCCTTATATACTTTCAAGAAAAGTTTGTATTTTTTATATCTTCATAAATTTTTAGCATTTCTTTACTTCGATTTCTTGTTGAGACACACAACAAAAAATCACTTTAATCAATTAAAAATTGAGCAAAATTTAACATGCATATTTCACAAAAATCATTCCAATAATTCAAAATACCGTATCCACTGCACATTTACATCAAATCACCCTATTACACGATAAAGCCGGGATCACACGGTGCAACAATATTGTGACTACATCCCGCAGAGCGACGTGTGCACACACCCTTATAGCCCTCGTGTAGTACGCCCTAATCAACGCACACAATTCTTTTGTCATCACATCATCAATGAGTTTAAATAGATTTGTTAATGTAGCTTTATTGAATTTATTTTGTCAAGTTTGGAGTGATTTTATTGTATAAACTTGGATGCTTTTAGCCTCACAGAAAACTAGTGTGAAAGAAACAGAGCGTTTTGTTTCGCCGTGTAAGTGAAGTTGGCGGAGGCCCAATCCTTCCTCTCCCAAAATCCCAAAATCTCCAAATCTCTTATCTCCAAAAGGTCGGCAACGCACACGTAACTCCTCCGTTGTTGCGGGTGTCCATGGACACTGCCAATTGCTTACCATCGGGTAATACATCTGCTCTAAATTCTATCACACCAAAGAAAAAATATATTTATAGATTATCCATCAGATATTTTTACTTAAACAGCCATATCTGTGAGCACACTTAGACATTATGTGATGACTTCATATAAAATTTTTGATGGATCAACCACATTTATTACCTAACGGGGCAGTCAAAACGGTACTTGGGTGTGATTCTGTAAGACTTCATTCTAAACTTCGAATCTGAATCCGCCGTGAGAAGTAGTACACTAGCGCTACACTTACGAGTTGAACTAAATTGACAGCAACATTTTGATAGTTAAGTATGAGATGACGTTAAAAGTGGCATTCTAAAATTTAATTACCCCGTCACTTCGACACTCACTTCGCACTCGAACAAGATTCAAAATCAAACAAATTTTATAGAATCGACGTGCTGATCAAAAATCACACATCGTATTCAAAATAATATAATCAATTCACACTTCCAAATTAGTTGAACCTTTCCCATCCAGCCACATGGAATAAACCCATAATATCCCCCAGGGGTTTAAATTAACTGACCCTCAGAGTCAAGGGGTGTAAAGAATTGGGGATAATATTTTGCGATTGGGAGATAGTAGCCTTGCCAAACAAGGCTATTTGGGATTCAAGGTGACTGCACGGTTGGCGCGGTGCTGGGCAACTGGTTGCCGTGTAACGTGTCGTGGATTCGATTCCCGCAGAACAACTCTTTGTGTGATCCACAAATTGTTGTTCCGGGTCTGGGTGTGATGTGTATGTGAATTTGTATGTTTGTAAACGCACCCACGACACAGGATAAAATCGTAGTGTGGGGAACGTTTTTGCTAAAGAAAACAAAAGTTGTTAATTTTTTGTATGGAATAGGAGGCAAACGTGCAGACGGATCACCTGATGGTAAGTGATCGGCGCCGCCCATGGACACCCACAACACCAGAGGAGTCACAGGTGCGTTGCCGGTCCTTCAAGAAGGAGTACGCTCGTTTCTTGAAGGTTTGAAGGTCGTATCGGTTCGGGAATACCGCCGCCGGAAGATCACTCCAAAGTTTTGCTGTGCGGGGCAGAAAGTTTCGCTTGAATCGCACAGTTGTTGACTGCCAACCATCTATGTGATGGGGATGAAAATGTTTTTCTTGTTTTTTATGTTAAATACCTATTTTTGTTTCAATCTTACTTAATTTTTATAACTGCGAAAGTTTTTTAGTAATAAGAGGTGTTTGTTAGTTCTTTACATAAAAACTATTGAACGAATCTTAATGAAATTTGGCACAGAGCTACACAGGCTACTTTTTACCCTGGTACCGGCCTCTTGTAGGTTATTAGATATTTAAGGATAGGTGATTTGAGGATTGAGGATTGAGGATGAGGGGGAGAGAGCTTACGTTACTATAATCCATACATCTTTACATACACTTAGTAAATATGTATAGTCTAGCTTTTGCTTGCGAATTTGTTCGCGTGGAAAAGTGACTTCCTGGCGATTTTTGGTCTAAAAACTATTCTATGTCCTTTCTCGAGTTCCAAACTATGTCTGTACCAAATTTCACGCAAATAGGTTCAGTAGTATTGGCGTGAAGAAAAGGCAGACAAACTGACAGACAGAGTTATTGTCGCATTAAAAAAAAGAATTATGTGAATTTGTATATTAATCGTAAATGCACATTTGATGCAAGATAAAGTCGTAATGTGAAATTACGTTGAAATTACACTAAAAATAATAACGCTTATTCCAATTGTGATAAGATTCACTTTTAAAGCATTCGATATTAAACGAATAAAATATATTATAGTAATAAATTTAAAACGCTTTTGTCATGAATTTTGTATAAATAATAATTATTTTTTAATCCTTTTTTTTTAATAGATATGGGGCCTCTTCTCACACGGAGAAGGTTTGAGCATTAATATCAATTTCGATTTGCTATTTAACCCTAAGGTTGACTGGGAGAGAATGCCATATGGCATTAAAGTCCACCTTATGTACCATCACTTGTTTTGTGTAGATTAAAGTTTAAATAAATAAATATCACTACGCTGGCTCAAGGCGGATTGGCGATTTCAAACTTATTATTAGGAATTATAAGTCCAGGTCTCCTCACGATGTATACCTTCACCGTATGTCAGTGGTGTCTAAATAATCATACAAAGTGCATATAACTCGGAAAAAGTCACATTGGTACTTGCCAGGTTTCGAATCCTCAGGGCCACCACGACATCATAGTCCCCAATAAGTATCTTAAATACTCTCACGACTAAACAAAATAGTCTTAGTACATATTTCCAGTTAGTTAACTCCCTACACGGCGACTCCTCGACACGTGGCATTGCCCGACCGACTGGCTTTGCCCGCTGATTGGGCCATTGTGCGTACTGACTGGGCATTATCCACAATTACCTTTGTAATCTGACCTGATTATTTCGCTACGAAAACTCGGTAATCGGTTTTCGGAACTCATTTATTTACTTTTTATTGTTTTATTTTTGACTCTTTGACTTTCTACAGCTTTGTGTGAATGACTGAGGTTACCGGAGGCCTAATCCTATCCCTCCCCCGATACCTAAACTCTTATCTTGATGGCGATTACTAACCATCAGGTAATCCGCCATAAATAATATAGGGACAAACAAAGGAACTTTGTTTTACACCATATAGTGATGCTAAAAAGTCGACTGATGGCAGAAAAGTAGAATACATTTATCACAATCTTCCCTGCAAATGTTGTCCCAATTCAATCTCAAACCAGCTAGATTATCGTGGCGATTATGGTAAACGCCTCTTTTGTAGAGGAGACTTGTAGTCCATTTAATATTATTGTTAGTTTCTTTTTTAATGGGAAAATCATTCAACGATCTCTCCCGTCCAGGGTGAAGCGAGAATGAGTGACAGATTCTTACTGACTTTAGTCAGTAAGAGCTCCTCGTTCCTTCTCCTGCTCCACTGTGGCCGCAGTACATTATAACGCTTTATCTGTATAAGTGTGGGAGAGCCATACTGAGTGTGGAAGAGCCATGTTCGACCGGAATGATACCACGGGCTCACAGAAAAACCGACGGGAAACAACACAGCGTTGTGTTTCGCCATGTGAGGGAAGTTACCGGAGGCCCAATCCTTTCCCCTACCCCAATCCGTTCCCTTTCCCAAAATCTCCAAATCCCTAATCTCCAAAAGGTCGGCAACGCATTCGTAACTCTTCCTTTGTTGCGGATGTCGATAGGCGGCGCTGATTGCTTACCATCAGGTAATCCGACAGCTCATTTGCCGTATAAATAAAATCTATTCTTTCGTAGAATAAAAGACCTTACTTTAAACCTATGTTAGTTCATCGTTGAAGATTTAAAAATGGCTGTGTCCTATGAATAAAAAGTATAGAAATGTCAATTAATTATGTACCGAGCTAGGTGTTGAATGGACTAGCCAGGCTCCGGCTGTTTTTGTACCCCACATCAAACGCAGTTTACGATGAAGCGACGAACGCCACAGAGTTGTTGGCACAGACTGGGAAATAGGTATAATACGGATTGTTGACTACACACTATGACCCTGGAGTAGGTCATCGCTAAGGTAAATGTTAAGCATGACAGGTTATAGGAAGCATACAGTGACTTGAAAAGAGACTGACCTCTGAGTTTGTTTCGACATTTCTTCTCAGAGTAGTCAGATAGGAAATACCGGCTTCATCTAGCTTTTTACATATAATTTGACGTGTAAAAATGCTGTTCTGTGTTCATTACAAAAAAACATTTCTCTGATCTGGGTCAGAAGTAGCCTTATCAGGATACTTGCTTTTTTATTGGATACCGCAGCAAATAAGGAGTCAAGTCATCTGATGATAAAGCTATCGCCGCCGCCCAGTAACCTGTATTACCAAAAGGGTTACAACTTACAAGTATACTACTGGTCTTTTAGAGTTTTTAATGTTAAAGATATTTAAGCGGATGTTCAACCATGAATCTTACAAAGATTGGGTTGAATAATCCAAACTAATATTATTATAAATGCGACAGTAACTCTGTCTGTCTGTCTGTCTTTTCTTCACGCCTTAACTACCGAACCGATTTCTGTGAAATTTGGTACAGACATAGTGTGGAACTCGAGAAAGGATTAAAATAGTTTTTATACCAAAAATCTGGAGGAAGTCACTATTCCACGCGAACGGAGTCGCGGGCAAAAGCTAGTTATATTATATTTGATAGGACGTAGTTGATATCCTAATTATATTTTATAAACTACACTTTTAAAATATGACAAAATAAGTTATAAATACACATCGCCTCTGCATCCTTACTCTATGCCGTCCACTTCCCAGATATGCGAGCGTGGTTGCGCGGACGCAAGTTTTTCTCCGGCCGTCTCGTTCGCTCTTAGCGCTGTCTCTTTCCCACCAAAAGCGCCGCGCACCGAGGTTTTTGCCCTAAGGTGCTCGCACAGTTTTTCACGTTCTGTCTCAGGAACTTTTGAAATCGCGCGGACGAACAAAAATACTTACGTTTCGCCATGCGTAAGTTGCTTGTGTAGCTTTAGCTATAGGGATATAGGTATTTCATTTATTTACATCACATCATAGGCCTATAAGTGCCCACTGCTGAGTAAAGGCCTCTTCTAACACGGATAACGTTTGAACATAAATCCATAAATCACCACGCTTGATTTCAAATTGATAATACGGTAGTTTCCAACTAGTCAAATTCAATATTATTATCTAAATGTCAAAAACGATACTTTTCTATGAAATTTGTATGGAACACTGAGTTATGACGTCTAAGCTATCTCTGCGTCAAAAAGCTTACAAATTTTTAAAAAAATAGCAAAAAAATATCTAAAATTTAGTGTATCGCTCGTACGATGAATAAAAGTATAGTTATTTTCCAATATTTTATTGTATTGAAACGTTGAATTAATTTATTTTTGACCTAGGAAACCACCGAATTAAATTATTAGTCCAAGTGAGGAAACTCATGATGTTTTCCTTCAATGTTTGTCAGTGGTGTCTTAATTATCATAATTATAAAATACATACCTATAGCTTGGAAAAAGTCACATTGGTACTTGTGCCAGGTTTTGGAGTCATGCATGAGGAGCGGGTGCCCTAACCTTTGAGCCATCACGACATATTATTTATGTATACTGAATAATTTATTGTAGAGATTCGTTGGTTTTGAAACTCGGTATTATGGCATAGGGTGAAAAACAAATAGACTAGAAGAGTTACAAGTGAGCTAATGATGTAAGTTACATGAGGGAAGATTGGACCTCCTTGCTCGATATGAAATAGAGTTATTTGATACTCATCAAAATAAAAAAGAAATTATTTAATATTATGAAACATAACAATTTATTATTGCTTTTTCTTCATTCCTCTATCATATCATATCATATCCTACTCTAAATTATAAATGTGAAAGTTTGTAAGAATGTATGGAATGTATGTTTGTCATTCTTTAACGCAAAAACGGGTGAACCGATTTGGTTGAAATTTGGTATGTAGATAGGTTATAACCTGGATTAACACATAGGCTACTTGTTATCAACATACCATGCGGGCGAAGCCGCGGGCGGAAGATAGTATTAAATATCCTAACGATGCCGAATCAGTTTCTATATGAAAAAGTGAGTATGTGAAAATTTTACATTTATTTGAAAAAAGAAGCCATAGACATTACTTTGCTTGCGTTGCCAGTTGTTGATGTTTTAAAGGTTTAGTGATTTGAAAATTGAGTGAAGTGGAGTTTGGAGAACAGAGCTTAATACTAGATCCCCCAACCCCAGATCCGGGTTGGGGGTTCTAGTATTAAAATTCTGGTAACCTCAAATAGTTTGAAAGCCAAAAAAAGACGAATTGGAACTGGGATCCCAAATAATTTTCATTCAGGCTGTAAGTTGAAGGCTGAAGGCATTCTCATGAAAACCAAGTTGCTACCACAATGGTAGATTAGGTTAGGTTAGAACTGTGAACCGGACAAAAATGGAATCACCGTCGCAAACAAATGATGAACGCCTATTTTAACCAGCATTCTGATTGTGCATGTGTGCCAAATTAGGTAGTATGTTATCTCTTTTATTATTATAGGTCAGTTTTACTTATTATTGTTTTGTTTATTTTCTCTCTCTGTTTTCAAGCCTTTTAATTGTTATATTTTATAATGTATATATTTTTTGCTCCTGGTGATATGCCGAATACCAACATTTCATCATAGCATTTCAGTAAATTTAAACTTACCATTGCTTTGTCTATCATTCATTTGTTGCTTTTTCTTATACAACCTGCCTTAATGTGCCGTCGGTAACCTGATTTATTATCCGGAATGTCGTGGTGGCCCGGAGATTAAGGCGCCCACTGTTAGGCACCGCTGCATAAGGGTGCGAAACTTAGCAAGTACATGTGACTTTTTCCGAGCTTTATATAAGTACTTAAGACACTCCAGTCGCTTACCACCAGGCGATATTGTCCCCAATTGTTAAAAAAACATTTATTTTACATATTTAAGAACTCAAAGCCATAGTCAAAACACTAGTACCTTTTTATTTATTACTTTTGCCGTCTTGATAGTTACATAGGTCGATTTTAGTTAGTTGCTTACGTATTAATTCAAAGATATTGAACTCAAAAGTCGCCGATAACAATCGTAAGTTCGAAACGGAAAGAAATAACAACAAACACGAAATGAACGCGACGAAATAATCCGCCGAAGTAACGGTTCAATCTTCTCACTTAATAGGCCAATCTTTCGTAATTACTCAATTCAATACAGAATGCAATTACCGCGTGTTTCGAATGTCGCACGACAAAAACTGACAGGCAGACGTCGATTGGTATAATTCTGTTAATTTATGTGCGCTTTTAAAACGTAATTAACATGATTTAATGACAATTTAAAATGATAGACGGGTTAGTAGCGCCATCTCTTATCGGGTAGCGGAACTAAAGTGATGCTTCATTACATTGCGGTAATGTACTGAATATTTTATACGTGTAATGATTTTGATCGTTTTTATGTAATAATGTTGGTTTTTTTTTGTGTTGAGGTAAGCTGTGTTTGTTGTGGTTGGTATTTGGATGGGTGATCATCGTTTAATCATTGTTACAAGCTTTATTTTCAGTATCTAGTTACCTTTTTCTTGATTTCTGTTGTAAAGTTCATATTTTTGGTCCGTCCTTACTTACTGTGTAATGAAAACTGTGGTTTTTCAATGTCAAACTTTGTGATGACAGCAGAATAGTTACATTAATTTTGTCACCCATAATTTTTTACCTTATTAAATAGTGATTTCTGAAAACAACTCCGCTTTGACCCAGTAGAAACGGTAGTACATAGTTTTTGGTAAGAATATTGCCTTACTAACAACGTTTTTCTTCACTATATACCAGTTTTTTTGCGAGGGGAAAATCATCAAATGACTTCTCCCGCCCAGGGCCGGACGGGAGGGAGTGTCAGACTCTTACTGACTAAAAACCCCCCTGTTCCTTCTCCTGCTCTGTGCCTCATTGCGCTTACCCTGCAGCCTAGCACCATATACCAGTGGTGTCTAAATAATCATAGAAAGCCGGTACATACGAGTATAACTCAAAACGTCATATTGGTACTTGCCAGGTCTGGACCTGACACCGTCATTTATGAGAAACGACCAGGTCACAACCAACCACTGCGTACCACTTAAATTATTTAAAATCTAATTTAATTAAGTATAGGCGTAATTATTAAAAATAGGGACGACAACATATTACATATACATACCTATACATTTATATAAATAGCTTAATTAACTTGAAAGCATGGTTTAATATACCAAATGGGGTTATATTTTATTAATGAGTTATTAGGTAAGCTTTTATGTTGTTGTCTATTAAACATTTTACTTTAATTTATTTAAAAGTTTTTCATTCTTAATAGGTTTCTATATATTACTGGGGTTGTGGATGTACCGGGCGCGTATGTACCGCAGCCTCGGCCTAGAGTTGGAGAAGGAACTGGGTTTTAAGTCAGTAAGAGTCTGACACTAACGGAAGAGGCCACGGTTTATTATTGTGCTGGTACCTACAACTCCAAGTCCCGAGAGAAGTTATATGACGATATTCCCACCTTAAAATGGTTTTATAAGTTTGTATAATTGAACATAATTAATGCATAAAGCAGAAGTAAGAACATCCACAGAGGTTAGTCAAATTTTTGACATCAATATCTTGCTTTGCTATCGAGCAGACGGATCACCTGATGGTAAGCGATTGGCGCCGCCCATGGACACCCGCAACACCAGAGGCGTCACAGGTGCGTTGCCGGCCTTTTAAGAAGGAGTACGCTCGTTTCTTGAAGGTTTGAAGGTCGTATCGGTTCGGGAATACCGCCGCCGGAAGATCATTCCAAAGTTTTGCTGTGCGGGGCCCAAAGTTACGCGTGAATCGCACAGTCGTTGACTGCCAACCATCTATGTGATGGGGATGAAAATGTTTTCGCGTGGAACGATGACGAAAAGATTATTTAGACAATTATTTAGACACCACTGACATATTCTTAAGGTAGAGAAAAAACTCGTGAGGTATTTAATAGGTAACTTCTATTTTAAAAGGGAAAATGATCCAATAATAACTTCTACCGCCCTGGTTAAGTCAAGAAGAAAGGAGAAGAGATGAGGGATATCAGAATCTTACTGACTCATAATCATCTTGTGTTTCCTTCTACTTCCTGCTGCACCGGCCACAGTATATCAATTTGCATGTGCCGCCTGCCTGGATCGTGAGAAAACCTGGACTTGTAATTTCTAATTATAAGTTTGAAATCGCCAATTTGCTTAGGTGATTAATGCTCAAACCTTCTCCGCGTGAGAAAAGTTTTTGATCAAAAGTAAGCACTAATAGGCTGGTTCATGATATATTGCTATTGATCTGGTGCCCAAAATTACTATCACAAAATATTATTTTTTAGGATATAGGACGGGAAACGGGCGTACGGATTACCTGATAGTAAGCAATCAGCGCCACCCATGGACAATCGTAACAACGTAGGAGCCACTAATTGACGTGTAAAAGTGCCGTTTTATGGCCTATTTGCAAAAATAAATTCATTGTTTCATTGTTTCATTGTTACCTTTTGAAGATAAGGGATTTTGAGATTTAGGGATTGGGGAAAGGGTTAGGATTGGGCCTCCGGTAACCTCACTCACAAGACGACACAGCGCTTTGTTTGTTTCACGTCGGTTTTCTGTGAGCCCGCGTTTTCACTCCGGTCAAGCCAACCCAAGTCGTGCCCAAGCATGGCTCTCCCACACTTAAATTTCCAACTTAAAGTAGGACATTATAGAAATCTAATTTCGTCGAATACCAATCCAAAACACTACCTATATTAACAACCACCCTTAGTCTCATACCTACAAAACGCAACCTACCAACCATATTACATTAAAAATATATTCGTAAAAGAATCCCCTTACCCTTTTCGTACATAATTTAATACCGTGTCAAAATGGCTACCGACACACCTTGGGTTCCATCCCTAATTAATGGCTGCCGAATCCTATGTGACAGTGGGCTACAAATTACATGGATACAATAAAAATGTCTCCACCCTAGCATGTCCATATTAAATTTAAATATTTAGTCTGTGGAAGAAAATTTTGAAGGTGTGTTTTGGAAATGTAATATATTACGTACGTACCTGCATATTAGCACACGTATATAAATAATGTACCGGGATTTTAAAAACAGCAGCGTTTAATGCGATGTGTTGACTAAAAAACCGCAAATCTATACTTATGTATGTTCGTTTCCTTTCACGGGATCCCGGACCTTTGGAAGGCGTACGAGGAGCCGAAGCCAACTCGCAGAGGCCCGTTGAACAATTTTAATATACATTGTAGCCGGCAATTATCCCTGTATGCACTATAAAAGTGCACCCAAGGACAATCCCTGGTTGATGCAGGACTATTGTGAAATGTGGGTAAAATTGATAGGGTTATGGGTATGGGTTGCTATGCACTAGTTGATGAAAACTATGGAAATACTATGGCCTCTGCCCCTGACCAATATTGATTACTTATGTGTATTATTAATATTATAAATCTGAAGAGTTTGTTTGTTTGAACGCGCTAATCTCCGGAATTATTACTGGTTCAAAGAGAACAATCTCTGTTTTTTTGTTAGTCCATTTATCGAGGTAGGCTATAGGATATAAAACATCACGCTACAATCTGTCGAAGCATAGCAGCGGGTGAAATAGCACGATAGTATCGCTAGTCAAGTAACATTTCCCTCAAAAGATAAAAACATTTTATTCTTATACAAAAAATCAAGTAAGTATTAGTTTTGAAACGTCAAAAAATGGAAGAGTAGTTAATAGTTTATTAGTATGTCCGTCAGTGATGTTACGTTTGGTTCGGTCCTCGTTTCAAAATGTAGATTCATATGAAGAAGAACAAGATAAAAACTCCATCGTTACACTTTTAAAATTAGGGTGCCTACAATTGTTATGTACCTACACATGTCAACATTTTTTTTAAATAATTTTGCCCCACATTTTCTCCTTCGTCGTGGATGCGTTTACAATCATACATTGTCACACACATCACACCCATACCCGGAATCCGGATCACACAATGAGTTGTTCCGTACGGGAACCCAACCCGCCACGCGTTGCATAGCAGACAGTTGCCCAGCCATCGCGCCAATCGTGCAGAATTTCAACACTAATAAAAAATAAAAATAATTATTTACACGAATATTATAGTCATTGCAAGAGACAATTTACTAAAAACAGTTTCACATACATCGTCTAAAATTTTTCGTCATACAAAATTATAGGTAGGTTCTAAAAAAAAATTCAATAGGTAACAATTTTATTTTATTCATTTGTTTACAGATTTCTGGAAGGAGACAAATGGGAATCAACGTCATCAGATTCAATGGTGCTACCAGACTGACTGTTGAACCTATCCAGTAACGATATCATCATCATCATCATCATCAAGAGGCAATGACAGTCAACATCTGAACTATGGATCTGAACATACAACAGTATCGGATTCTCTGAGAGAGCTCCAGAGAGAATAGGCTTTCTTGATCGGAGTGATACCACGGCATCATAAAATACCGAAATGAAACAACGTTTTTTTTTAAGATAGAAAATCATCAAATTTCTTTCTCTCCCCCAGCATGAGAAGGAATGGGAGAGTCAGACTCTTACTGACTAAAAAACACCTCGTCACTAGCTCCAGGCCGACGCCTTTATTTTT